CCAGGTATAACATAATGCTTATTTAAGACGAAGCAAACAAAGTGCCTCTAAATTAAGAAATTCTGACTTAATAGTGAAAAGTCATTTTTGACTGGCTCTGTGATGCAGTCCAAAAAGCATAGTTTCTCTCCTTCATTAGCAATTAGGGCTAAAAATTAAATTCATCTCTTGTGTCACAATCTATCTGGTAAGACATACAGAACTTCCGCACATCAAATCTTGTCTTATTGAGATCTCCTGCTACAGGTTCAAAACAGTGTGATGGAAGAAAATCAATTAATATATTTTACAAGCCATCTGCAAAGCAATCAAAGCAAGAGGTTTCCTAGTTACTTCCTAGCTACAGACCTGGACAACAGCTGTGTCAAGACTCCAGCAAACCCAACATTTCCTGCACAGACCAACCGCTTTCCAGCCAACCTGCCCTTTTGCGCCACAAAGCAACTGCCAGGACTCCACATAGCAGAACAGGCCAAAATTTGTTCCCCCCACTCACGTTTTCCTGCACGCTTGCTGCAACAGAGCAGCATGTGTGCAGTGCACGCCGTGCTCTGCAAGTGCCAAGACCTTCTTGGCAAGGTTGCAGGTGGTGCCGACCCCTGCTACGTGCACCTTACCAACCACGCACAACCTCATCCACTTCAGACCGAGGAGATAAGAAGAGGTGGGAGACTAAAAAAGAAAAGTTCTGCACGTTTTAAACAAACCTGTTCAATTGCCTCGCCCAGCCTCACAAAGAAAGTAAATAAATGCAACATCAAAAGTAAACATTACCCACAGCTCTCTGATAAGCAGGGCACATCAACACCTCTGTGCACTTCTCACTGCTGCTTGCACTTTGTGCGATCCTGTACCTCTTACGGACGCTCATACACCATAAAAAGCACCATAAATTCATGTGGGTTTTCGCCTTCAATATCCTGCACAATTTTAGTTACTAGAAAAAACATGTTTTGCCATCCAAGAGTTATGAGTACATGGCAGCTATGTAGCAACCTATAATGGCTTCTGCATTTCTACATTCGAGAGGGACAGCAGAAGCAATCAGCTCTTACATTCAGCGTGGCACACACTGTGCACACACAGGGTATTCTTCATTCTTCAGAGCATTTCTCTTCTACCCCACTCAATGGCTCTAGGAACCTCACATTTTGCAGTTCAACCTTAAATAAGGTATTAAAGGGAAGAGACCCCCCTCATCAAAAAGTTATGTTTTTATAAGATAAATTTTTTTAAAAAAAAATCTCTTTTCCATTAGCTTAAAGAATTTCTCTGTATCTTAGAGCTTACAAGTCCTATATGTTATTTTGCATAGGCAATGCCCACTTGCTAAGAGTCACGATAAACCTGAACGCTAATAAAAGATCAACCTAAAAGAATGATGTGCTTCCCAAGGAAACTGCCCTTTTGTAATTAAGATTTCTGCCAATAGCAGACGGAAAGACCTTTGAAAAACAGGATGCTCCATATGCTGTCTGCACGAGTTTCACAGCCTTGCTACTGAAATCATTCGCTTTTTCCTTCCAGGCTACCATCGTTACATGACCTTGAGTAAAACGTGAAGGGGATATATAATGTGCAGCCTCTTGGGATACCATTCGATAAAACTTACAAGGAAAGAAATTACTGCTAGTTGTTTTTTTCAATCCACTTGTACATTAATGTGCTGAAATGCATACTTGGAGCCATTGAAATCCGATTCAATGTACCAATGCACATTTTACAGTACTTAGGAGGAAAGCTATTTTAATTTTGTTAGTTGTCAGAACGTAAAATCCTGAAGGCAAAAAGCTTTTCTCTAGAAAAAACAGAGCAGATCTTAAAGGGGAAAGATGTTACCTAGCTTCCAGATAACGAAAACCAGAGAAAATCTCATGCAGGACACGGAAAGCACAGCTCCAAAGGAAGGAAGGAGTCAGCTGCCGCTTTTACACATGGCTAATGCTAAAATGGAACTAACGACAGAAGATGCAGCATCTTGTTCATCAAATCCCAACATATCAGATCAGCAGCACCACGGAGTGCTACTATCCTGCTGCCAGCAAACAAGGGCTCCGAGGCTCTTGGCGATGGATGCGCAACGTGCTCCAGGTTTTGCGCGTTTGCTCTTGGATAGGCAGCATCACCAGATGTCCAAGCTTTCTCTTACCTGCAGACTAATGCATTAGAGTGTTCTGTATGACGTTTCCTCTGAAAGCTTATTTGCTTGGAGACCACACTGGATCGATTCTAGATGTGCGCCCTGTCCATTAGACTGGAGCCGAACCAAGCACGAGCGCAGAGGCAGATCCACCCAATGTGCCGGAGCCCACGACGCGCTGCTTGGGCCAGCTCCGGGCTTTGGGCTGGCTACTGGAAGGCAGCACAAAGTTATACCCTTAAAACCAACTCGAACTGCTGCACTACGCTTGCGCTAGTACCACACTCTGCATCACATTAACTAAGGGAGTCTTGATCCGGTAATGGGTGATACAGAATTTAATTTTCCTGGGTCCAAGGCACCTGCTGTCCACTTGCTTAACAGCTTTTCTCAGTGCAAGGCACTCTGCATTTCAAAGAATTAATACAACACTGCCAGCACGATATCCCCTGAACGCTGCTCCCAGAGACACCCCTCACCTCTACTCCCCAGTGTTAGGGACCGACTTCCCTGCAGAGCGAGGCGGGCTCTGGAAGCGGCATCCTTGGCCGCACAACCATCACAACCATCCCACTGCGCATGGATTCTGCACCACCCAAACCCTCCCCAGCAAAGCAACACAAGGGACAGCGCTGGTACATTCTTCATGTGAGATCTGTGCTTTTATCCTTGTGGTTTTTACTAATTATGCACATACGCCAAGAGCTTGCAATCAGTGTGCTTTGAATCAAATTTTAAACAATTCAGGAAGGATTAAAAACCACATTTTTTTTGTAACTTTTTAATTGTAATATTAAAGAACTCATCTGGTAACATCTAATTATAATTCTAAATGAGCAGCAGTTTACAGAGCTCTTCTAGGGTACCTAAGCCCCAAATAAACAAGGTCAGGAAAGTCTCGTAAAAGGAGTTTTTACTCTGAAAGCTGCAGAGAGGAGGCTAGTAGGCCTTTGGGATGCATTTATCCTCCCCGTTTCCACATTGAAGCATTACATTTTGGAAATCGTAGGGAATATCACCCATCAAGCACAGGACTTACTGTACTGCAGGATCCTTCTCAGGAAATGGGCAGCTCTGCTCCTGTCACAGCACATGCATCACCAATATAAGTTCACTTGAAGTGACATGTGCCAACATTATGTCGCTCCTGGGGAAGGTACGAGCAGCTCCAGCAGAAGCAAATACCATCATCCATCAGAAAGCAAAAATCACCAAGTGGGATGGATGGGGGACACTTTTTCATGCAGAAACCAAAAGGCTCTCGCTGCAGTAAAGGCAGCCCACCAACCATTTGGGAAAAAAAGTCATCTTACCAGGGGGAATATTTCAAATCTATCTAACATTTACTGGCAGCAAGACAGCTGATACTGAGGACGGAGCCACAGGTTCCAGGCCGGAAATTCCAGGACGCTTCCCATCGACTTGGACATTGTCCTAGAGATTTCCTGGAAGAATCCTACCCCATCCCTCCCTGGCTACTCAGCTCTACATGGTGGATGTCCAGTGCATGTTTCAAATTTAGCTATACCAAAACAGTACCATAGCTGCAGCATATTAGGGGTAAACAGGCAGAGAACTGAAGCCCAGGGGCTCTGCCTTGCTTTCAGAGTACGTAACATTTTGGTGACACACTAGGTTTAAAATTTATTTTTTACATTTTATTCTTTAAAAAAGTTATTTAAGTTTAAATAAGGGAGAAAAAGAAAATCTCAATCTAAATCAGGCAATGTACAGTGTAATTTTCTTCCTCAGAAGGAAGGAAAGGCTTCTGAAAAGGGCTCTGAGACAGTCATCCATCCATCATCTTGTTTTCCTTTACAACTTTCTCTCTGTCTTTCAGTGAAAGGGAATCTCAGAACTCACAGGGAGCAAAACAGGAGGAATGTGGGCCATTCTCTGCTGCTGGAAGAGAAGACAACAGGAATGTGTCTCATGCAGCTGGTGTCCCCTCTGCCTCTAGGAGCAATGCGGAGCAGGGTTTGAACTAGGCACTAAAGACACAGAAAAATTTGGAAAAGTGTCAGTGATCAGCAATCTAAATGGAAGAGCTGAGTACCCAGGGCACTGCCAGGGCTCACTCAGCAACCCAGCTCTGGGAGATACTGGCAGTACATAATGTATTTTATGCATGCAGGTGGTTTATGAGAAACAATTCCTCTACCGTCCTTTTTAAAAGGGTACACGAAGGCATCTGCTGAGCTGTTCCTCATGATAAAGCTCACTCTGTCCTCAAAGCCTGCAGAGAGAATTCCTGGTAGCTGAACCTGCCGCACTGCACTGAGGGCTCTGCCGGGAACAGACCTCTACGGGTTGGCAAATCCCCTGCCCACCAGGCAGGGCAACCACAACAATATTTCGGTTAAGAACCTGCTAAGAAGACTCTGCAGGGCCAGCAGGCCAGCTTTGTCCATGCTAAATGGTCTGCGTATGGCCCTACAGCCTGGAACAGCAGCAGCATCTGATGGGATTTCTTTTGGTGCCAAATAGTAACAAGAAAAAGCACATATCCTCCTTGATCATGCTTGTCAAGAAAAGGTTGAGTCACACAGCTACTGAACCAAACTCATCACCTCTGAAAAACGGAAATGCTCTCACGGTAGAACCAGTTGGAGACTGGCTGGAGGGGAGCCAGGCCGTCGGAGGGTGCAGGGAGCATCCCTCGCCACGCTGCTCCCCCAGCAAACCGAGCGCGCAGCCGCCCTGCAGCTCCCTCGCCTCAGCCCGCCGGGCTTGCCCGGCACTCACACGTCTTCCTTGCCGCCCCCATGCCCAGGAGAGCTCCATGCCACACAGCTTTGCTCCATCCCTCTTTCGGGCCACGTAGAGAGCGCGCAGCCGAAAATTCATCCAGCTCCAGTAAAACAGAGAAGGAGAAGCAGCAACACGGAGACAAGACAGTTGTGGGAACCAGGCTAACTTCATTACATCTTTTAAAACTAATCAGTAACACGGGGAAACCCCACAATCCCCAAGTCCTTTCCAGAGTTTCTCTTAAGTTATTGGAGACAGAAAAAGCTACAGACACTCAGTCCTTTATTTTTAAAAATGTTCCACTTGAATTTATCACGCTCCATGCAAGTCAAACTTTATTTAGCTGAACGAGACTCCCATAAGCCGCCCTTTCCTCACCCGAGAGTGACAACAGCTAGAACAGCTAGTGCCTTCTTGCCTGCAGCAATTCATTAGATTAAAACCAAAAGCAGTGTCATCTTAACTTGAAAGGACTTTTAAAAGAGCTCGAAGCAATCCTGCTGCAGCAGCACTTTTCTATCTTGGATTAACGACAAGTGGTCTTAACCCCTCCGAGCGCGCACGGGCGCGCACCCCCACGGTCCTGGGTGCCCACGGCAGCCCGCAGGCTCTAAAACGTTATAGCAAGCTGAGAGTTAACTTGTACACCATGTATAACTACAGTAATCTGAGCTCCCCTCTTCAAGTTAAAGAAGTTCAAGGTTTAGATATTTTTGTCCACAAGAAAAGACCTGCAGAATTGGGTAAATTCTCAGACATTCCACATGTTTCTGCTGCAGTTTTCCCTACTAACATCCTAGGCTCACAGGGCAATGGAAAGGTCAAAATCCTGCTATAAAAGTCTAAAATTATTATTAAAATATTAAATGTTACTTTTCAAACACTTCCAGTTGGTATTAATATAGAAAGATTTCTATCTTCAGGGATTTTGTAAATTTATGATTATCATCACAGCCTTTTTGAGCTCCTTTTTAAACAGGATTTAGCTTGCTGCTCGCCAATAGAGCATATCAGCAGCTAAAAAAAAACTGCAGCAGCAAGTCTCTCAAAATGAAATATTAAAAAAATACCCTGTCACCAATAACTGCTTCTGCTTGATGTAGTTTGTCATTTTTCTGGACAGCTGAAAGCCCTAGGCAAATGTGCAGGGAAAAACAGCAAACCATCTCATCAGTCTTTTGTTTATTAAAGCCCAAGTTTATTCAAGTGGCTTTGAATCCTGAACTAGACAAAATCTTCTGAACCAGTTTATTCTTAGCAGTTGATACTGGGGGCAGAGAAAAATCAAAAACGGCTCTTACGTTTATTAACTTCTAAAGCAGCCGTTAGATAATGAGCCCTTTCATCTCCACCCGCTCTGCTTGAGAACAGCGAGAAGAGACATCTACCAGGACCAGATCAGCTCCAGCACGGTGCTACTGCTATCAGCCCATCTTCTTAAGTACTCGAAACACCCCTTGTGAAAAGCATTCCTGGACACAAGGCTCTCCTAATACACTCGCTTCTATAAATACCAGCTCCTGAAAAACGGGGAGTACCGAGCTTTTACAAGGCTGACATCAGCGACGAGATGAGCTCATCCGCTGCTGGTGCAGTTACTGATGTCTGCATGCCACGTTAGCTGCTCTATTTTAAAAGACTCCTTTGGCGAAAGTTTAAGGTGACTAATTGGTCTCACCACCCGCCGAATGCTGAACTCGAGAGGCGTTTTCCCCAGCACCTGCCCAGCGGGACGCAGGTAGACCTGCTAACCGATTTCATGCAAGCTCCGCTTTGGTGAGCATAACAGCAAAGAACTGAGGAAGCAGAGAATTACTGAATGAATATGCGGTATTTCACCATGAAATCACTGCTGACAGCTGGGCAGGGCCATTCTTTGCTTGTTACATTCAGTCAGGAGGCCCAAAAAGCATTTTATAGCAGGGACAACTGGGACGTATTTTATCCTTCCTCCTGCAGGGCTCTTGGCTAGACGCTCTAGGTCCCGCACGCTGTCACGCGCGCTGCACGGCTCCTGTTCAGTGCGGACCCCGGCGGCCACCAACGCAGCAAGATATATCAGGCTCTTACGCGATCTGTGGGACACACTCTTCAAAAAATAATCAAGAAACTTGTTTAAAACGTACTTCTGAACCTCCCTCCAATTCCCCGGTGGTTTTCAGAGGAACACACGCCTCTCGAGGCATGCTGCACACACACTGAAGGACGTCAAAGGGGGCAGGCTATCTCAGAAAGATAAAATAACCCAAACGGGACAGTCAGGGTAACAAGAAAATGCAAGCAATTCTAGTTTGACTTTTCTTTGCAAAGGGCAATCTATAGCCTACCCATTCACAAAATGAATAAAATGAGCCATTCCTATATATAATTTTATCAAATGAGTGCCCTGGAGGCCACTGTATCTTATATATTAAATAAAAATATCCATTAGTTAAACAGTTGTACCAAAGAGTCTTGCTGCAGCATCTAAGATAGCCCACAAAGCCAGCTTTTTAGCTTGGCCAGCCCCTGCTTTAATCCAGGCCACAAATACATTCCTAAAGCTGATGCAGGCAGTAGGTCTAGCTCCGGAGGTCCTGTTCTTCCCATGCCTGCAGTTCCCCTCCCCTCTTACCTTCCCTCGTGTGTCCCTCAGGGCTCAGAGGTGTTCCAGCTCCCAAATGGCATCCTTGTGAGCATCCTCAACCCAGCTCAGTATTGGGTAGCCAAGATGTTTTGGAAAGAAGGGACTTAACAGGCACACGTGTATTATACACCACACACTAGAGGAACTGTGTGTTCAGCGAGGAAGCCTCCACTCCAGCTGGCTGCATCATCTTGACTGATCCATTAGTATTTGGTCAATGACAAGGAAAGTACAGGCTTTCCTCCCCTCAAGACGCTAATTTATTACAACTGTACAAGCCAGAGTAATTAATCAAAAGTCTATCATAGCACATGAAATGAAAATGGCTCCAAGATGTGCCTGTACCCATTAATTAATTATTAAAGGAACATTAGCTAAAGCTTTTCACCTGCCATTTAAAAGTTAGGGGCTACAATGACATGACATGTACAACCAGCACGGCAGAGTCTACCCGTGTTCATTGATCCAACCGATGTTGTGCCAATATTGGCACTAATTCTGTGGAAAAGGTCTGGACAGCCCAAGCAGCGAGTGCAACCTACGGTACCTACAGCTGCAAGACAGTGCTGGAGCCGGCGGCCTTAACCCCCCCAAATGCAACGAGCACTTGCACGTGCTTGCCTGACACTTGCACGTTTGTTTCCACATAAAGTCCTCGAGCAACGAGGCAAGGGCTTCATAAGCAGGAGAGCGAGCTCGCCAGGAACCACCAGCCGTGCTGCTTTCAGCTGTGTTTGCACTGCTCTAATCAATGGGAGCACTTAGCAGTGATGAGTGCATACGACAAGGCAAAGAAGAAACACATACACAACCCTTGATGTTGTGGCTGTATCTTCCTCCAGAGCCACCAATGAATCAGGATCACCACAGGGCGAAGCGCTGAGGAGGCTGGTGCTTAATGAAGCTGCAGGAAAGACACACGGGCTCAGGAAGAGGCAACCATCACCTGGCACCTAAGCCAGGAGCACCAAGAGCAGACAGCAGACGAGCAGCTCCGGAGACCACTGCTATTTCCAGTGGTCTCGAGCCTAATTGCGCTCGCTGCAGAACGATTAGCAGTTGCACAGACACTAAGTGCCCTGTCGATGCGGCCAAAACAGATTTGCTCTATTCAGAGCGATTACTTTGGGACACAGCAGTGAACCTGGCACGGATCAAAATAAATCCCATACATTTAAAACACAAAACATCACCACGGAAAGGAGGGGCTGGCGGCACAGCCTTAGTAATAATTTAAAAGCCGCACGCTTTAACATTAGGCTTTCTAGAAACAGAGAGGCAGGCATCGCTTTCATAAAACACCATAAACCTGTAACAGGCCGCTTCTCAGCCTTTACAGTCTCTAAAATGAACTTTTATGAATGTGAACGCTAACAAAACTCATCCCATCCATTTTTTCATCAGGCATCTATATAACAATCTATATTCAATTTTGAGAAAAATCCATATTTTTATGGGCATGTGTTACGAGCACTTGAGGAACAGCATGTTCTCAAGAACAGCTACGATATGCCAAAACAGAGGGTGAAGGCAGAGCCTCCAGCAAACCGGGGGTCCTTGCTAAGTGCAACCTTCACAGCTCCCACAGCAGGACCCGTTAGAGGCAGCACCAGCCTCAGCCCTTCTGCTATGGCTGGAAAGTAAAACCCAAACTACCCCGTCTAGTCTCATTCCCCACCCTTCCCAGTCCTTGCTCTTCTCGGTTTATCTCCTGACCTAGCTAAGCAGTGAGGGCAGGGGAGCCAGGCTGGCTACCAGCCAGCTAAGGTTTTCAGGCTTTATTTTTAATGTCTTCACCTGGAAATACATTAGGTTTACTCAGCTTCCAATCACCTCATTAACTTGGCTGGGAAGCATCTAACATAAGTTCCACTAATAACAACACATTTGATAAGATATCTGTATGTTTTTACTTATTGCGTCACCTAAAAGGTAAATCCCAAGAGGTAAATACCGGCCTTTAGCTGTTAACCAGCAACTTCCCCTCCCCTATAGAGGAAGAAATTGCATTTCCTCTGATAACCTGTGACGTTACACGCAGATTACACGTGTAAATAATTTTAAGCTACGCCTGTATTTCTGAACCACCCGTCACAGCTTTGTTCAAAACCTTTACAATTCTCAATATGTAGGTTCAAGAGAAGCTTCTAGTTCCAACTGTCCGAGCCATCAAGTACGTAAAGGAGAAGTCATACTTGCAGTTGACGGTATAATCCTACCCGCTGCATTCAAAATGCAGCTCGCAATCTCCTTAAAACCTCTCTTTCGCTGGGGGCCTTTCCGAGATTGAACGACCAGATTTGCTGCGCGCCAGGAGACAGTGTCACAAGTGAAGTATCTTGAGAGAAGGTTCCCTTGAGCTAGGGACTGTCTGGCGTAAGAGATCTCGTTAGACATCTTCCTCGTTGCGCCTCGCCAGCACCTCCAGCCCCAGCGGCCCATCCTCTGCAGACTTTACTGAGCAAGCAGA